AGTAAAATTTTGTTGAAGATATTTAAAAAATGATTGCAACCACAGGGAAATGCCGAAAATTCAAGCTGGATTCCGAAGAGGATACAGAACATGGGATATCATTGCTGATGTCAGATGGATCTTAGCTAAAAGCAGAGAAAGATGTTTACCTGGGTTTTATTGACCTTGGAAAGGAATACAACTGTGTGATTCATAACAAATTATGGATAACATCATGAACAATGGGAATTCCAGAACACTTCATTGTGCTCATGCGGAACAGGTTAATAGAAAGAGGCAATCATTCAAACAGAACAAGAGTATACTGCACGGTTTAAAACCAGGAAAGGTAAAACAAAACAAAACAAAATCAGGAAAGGTGTACGTCAGGGTTATATCCTTTAACACACTTACTTAATCTGTATGCTGAGCACATAACCCGAGAAACTGGATTATATGAAGAAGAACCCAGCACTAGGATTTCAGGAAGACTATTTACAATCTGTGATATGCAGATGACACAACTTTGTTTGCTTAAAGCAGAAGACTTGAAGTGCTTACTGATGAAGATCAAAGACTTCAGTCTTCAGTATGGGTTACACCTCAGCAGAAAGAAAACAAAATCCTCACAACTGTACCAATAAGTATCATTATGATGAATGGAGAAAAGACTCAAGTTGCAAGAATTTCATTTTACTTGGATCCACAAAAGCAGTAGTCAAGAAATCAAAGCACAATGTATTGAATCGGACAAATCTTCTTCAAAGGACCCTTTAAAGTATTTTGTTTGATTTTTTGAAAAAAGCAAAGATGTCACTTTAAGGACTAAAGTGTACCTGATCCAAGCCATAGTATTTTTAATTGCCTCATATACATGTGAAATCTGGACAACAAATAAAGTAGACAAAGAAGACTTGATACCTTTGAATTATAGGTTGGCAAAGAATATTGGATATAGCTTGGACTGTCAGAAAAAGGAACAAATCTGTCTTGGAAGTAGTCAGAATGTCCTTAGAAGTGAGAATGCTGAGACTTCATCTTTGGGCTATTTGAAGGGGCCAGGCCCTGGAAAGGACATTGTGCTTGATAAAGTAGAAAATCAGTCAAAAAGAGGAATCCCCTCAACGAGATGGATTAACTCAATGGCTCTAACAATGGGCTCAAATATACAATGATTGCATGAAGGGCACAGGGTCAGGCAGTGTTTCATTTTGTTGTACCAAGGGTCATTAAGTTGGAATTGACTCATCAGCACTGCACAACAAACACAGTCTACCTGATGGTTCACTCTAAGTGTTGTAGAGTTCCATGGGTTTTAACAAATGCATAATGTCATGTGTCTATTCACTTTATTACTAAAATATCTTTTACTCCTAGGTGGGAACAATGTTCTTACTTCACAAAATAAGAAGGTGTCAAGTCCATTTGAATATTCATATTAAAACATTATTCATTTGTAAAAACCAGAACCTATGCCCTGGATTTTTTTGTATGAGTCTCATGACCTCATTCTTCTTCTTTCCCTTCCCCAACAGTTCCAGGGAATACATGACTGCGAACAGAACTGAAATGTCAGGGTCTGACTTCCACCCAGCTTGCTTGGAGCTGGTGATCCCCTGGATCTCCTCTCTGGCCTGCAGAAGCAGAAGCTGCCTTATGAGTCTTGCAGACAGGGGTTATGGTGGGAGATTCCAGAGGCAAAATGTCTGTTGTGGGACTCCTCCAAATCTTGAGGGGTGAGGAGAAGGGAGGTGACCCTCCCCTCCCACAACTGGCTGAGAGAACTTGAAAACCCCTGCCCTTGACCAGGAATTCCCTGCCTTCATGGACTCACCCAAGGAAGTGATCAGCACATACTGACATTTTAAATGTACAGTGTAAAGAATTATGAAAAGAACACCCATATACCAACCACTCATTTGGGGGGGTACATGAATACATACACACATATACATGAAGATAAGTAAATAAGTATTGCTATTAGGATTCCAGTTCATATATGTACTGGTTTAATTCAAACAAAATGTGTTTAAATGTGTCTCTGCAATCAGTTCATGATTGCAGACAAGTTCTATAAGGAATATATTTGTTTTGGTTTCCTTAGGGTGCCTTCAAAAAAAGGTTCAATCAAAAGAGTGACTTCTGAGAGGGTATGCTGGGCCAGTTATACGCAAGGCAGAGAGGCCAGCTTATGGTGATTGTTGGGATTCTAAAGGGTTAATCTTGACAGATTTTTCTCAAAGGAGAAATGATCTTGGTTTAAGAAATTTGAAAAGTGCATTGGTGAGAAAAAGGTCAATAAAGTTGTACCAAGGATTTTTTTTTTCCTATCACAACAATGCACTTAGTCATTCATCAAAGGTAGCAAGGGTATCCTATCAGAATTTCACTGGGAAGCATTATCCCATTTGCCTCATAGCCTTGATCTTGCCCCTTCAGACTTATTTTTCTTCCCCAAATTCAAAGAACATTTAAAAGAAACCCAACTTGAGTCCCTTGAGGATGCCAAAAATACTGTTTCGATGTGGTGTAAATTGAAGACTGCAGAATTCTTCAGGGAAGAGTTAGAGAGATGAGAGCACCACTCTTAGAAATGCATAGACTTAGGTGGAAGATATGTTGAGAAACAATAGCTTCATGCATTGATATGAAAAACAATATGGGGATCTCCCTGGTTAAACTGAATGTCTTCTAGTCAGGAACCAGGTCTTGATCATCTTTGCATTACTGAATATCCTAGCTATTTGCTGGCCCACAACCAAGTATGGTATCTGGCACACTGAAAGTGTCTCATAATATACAGTGGTGGCCTTCAAGGAACGCTTTTATGTATGCCATTTACTCTTCCTGTTTTCTAGAATTATATGCATACCAACAACCTCCTGTCTTGGGGAATTTACAGTAATAGATTTGGACCTTTTAAATACCTGATTGTCCTTAGTTTAGTGCCTGACCCTTCCTTAACTCACCTGAGACTAGTTCTCGGATAGAAAGCATAAAGGGCCCCTCACAAGATCAGGCACCAAATTACTAGGAGTATTTTTCTTCCTATATAAAGGTGCTACCATTGACCAAGTATGGAGACAAATTAAATTCACTAGGTCCCTAGGGTGTGTGAACATTCAGTAGGCTTCCTGGGTGGTGTCCTTGATCAGAGTATCCAGGGATTTAGACTTTTGCCATTCCTTCTTTTTCTTTCTTGGAAAGACAAACAGGCTCAGGGTCCTGCGTTGGCCTCTTCAGAATTCTTTCATGCTGCTCACTCCAGCACCACCAGCACAGAATCAATTTGATTCCCACAACCTGGTAGGAAGCAGGACAAGGTATGATTATTCCCATTTCACAGACAGGAAAATGGAGGCAATTTGTCCGGAGTCACATAGCTAATAAATGCCAGAATAGAACTCAAAGTCCATCTCCAGGCTCCCAGTCAACCAACCACTCATTCCCTGAACCTCACTCCTCACAGCTCTCCTGCTCTACCAAGAAGGAATGCTCCCTGCAAGACCCAACGCTTTGGAAAGGAAAGGAGAGCCTATATAGGAGTTTCCAGACTTGGTTCAGCAACTGGCTTGCTTTTCACTGTGACATCTGAAAGTGGAGAGAAGTGTAGAAAGCATCATCCCTGCAACAGTGCTAAAGAAAGGCCATGGGAGATGTCCCAGCAGAACACTCACAGTTTCATCTTCTCATCTTGGTGCCTAGAGCTGCCCCTCACACTTGTCAGAGCAGACACTGTGGCTGTTGCTGACCTTGCACTTTTGATCCATCAGGGAAGATAAGATGCCCGTGCTCCCCACCTGACTCTCCTGGCACCTGGCATCACATCGGCCATGGCAGGCTTCACTCCAAAGTCCTGTATCAAAGAAACCAACTATAGACTGGAAGCAAGGACAGTCCATTTGACATCTTTGCATTCAAGGTTGGGGACACTCAAGTGTCTGCTGAATTGAGTCGAGGGCTCTCATTTGGGGAAACTAGCTTTATTATGGAGTCCTGGTGTGGCGCTGTGGGTTAATGCGCTGGACTGAAGTATCAGTTTGAACGACAAGGTCAGCAATTCAAGCTCACCAGTTGTTGTTGTTGTTAGGTGCCATTGACTCATAGCGACCTTATGCACAGCAGAACGAAACATTGCCCGATCCTGGGCCAACCTCACAATTGTTGCCATGCTTGAGCCCATTGATGCTACCACTTTGCCAATCCATTTTGCTGGGGTTCTCTAGGAAATCCTACACAGGGTCGCTGAACGGACTCGATGGAACTTAACAACAGCTTTATTACGTGGGAATGTGTGACAAAGAAAGCAATACTTAGCTCATCGCTGCAGGTCCTATTTGGGGTGGTGGGCCGGGGTGTGGATGATTACGAGTGCAGGTTCTGAAGCCCGGGAACCGGTAAGGCCCTCACTGGAAAGGGGGCAGAGGCCGAGAGGTGCTGCGCGCTCTAGACCCGAGATTACGGTACCTGCTCTAACTTTCCCACTCGGCTTCCAGCGCTAAGGTTTCTCCGCGCTAAGTCGGTTTACCGGCAATGAGCTCAGCCTGACCCCGATTTTCGGACTCCCCACCACCACCCCCCTTCTCCCTGGCACCTCGGCCCGCGACACCTGCGAGAGGAGGCGGCCCAGCGTCAAGCTGGTCCAACTGGTTCTGAGCAGGAAGTCTCCCGCCCTCGCCCCGGGCAGCCGACCAGCCCGGGCGCAGGCCCGGGCGTCCGTCGGTCCGTCCCGCGGCCCTCCGGCCGTCTCCCCGGCGCTCTTGGACGCTCTGCCCAGCCGGCCGAGGCGGGGATCAATGCGGCTTTGTCTGGGCCGCCCACACCCCAGAGGCCGCTCCCAGGTCGACAAATCGTAGCACGGCGGCGCGGGGCTCCAGCGGGGGTGAGATAAGAAGCCATGTGACCCTACCTGGGCCGGGCCGGCGGGCGGGCGCCGCACGGGGGAGGGGCGCGCAGGTGAACGGCGCCGCCCGAGGACGAGCACTACGCACGCGGCGGCCGCACGGGCACCGAGCGGCAGCATGTCTGTCAGCAGGAAGGACTGGTCCGCGCTGTCCAGGTGAGCGCGGCCGCGGCCCCGGGGGAGCTCCGCAGAGCCGGGATGCAGGCTCAGCGTCGCGCCTTTGGGTCTCCTGTCCCAGGGTGCCTGAATTCCTTTCCGCCTCGGGACACTGGCACTGAAAGCCAGATCCTCTTCTTGCTCATCCTCAAAGTGGACAGAATTGGTGCCAAAGTTGGGTCCCTCAGATGCCAGCGTTGGTGTTCTTGCCCCTCCAGTTTCTTTTTCTTCTCTTGGGGTTGGAAGTCCTAAATAGGGTGTCTGGGGGTGTTGGCCATCAGCCTGGACAGCTCCCAGATATGACTTACTGTGGGGGAAAGGATGGTCGCAGGGGGTTGGGCAGACTTCAGGAGATAGGTCTAAACTTCCTTTTCTGAAGGAAGCCTCACTCACTGCCCCCATTTTCCTGATAGACACTTGTAGAGTAGGTCCAGGGAGGAGTCCCTCCACCCCTCTTGGGAGTAGGGGGAGTGCCAGGAGTGGTGGTCAGTGTCATTTTGAAGGATCACCAGTACAGGCATCAGTGACTAGAACCAGAACTCCCCATCCCACCAAGGTAGGCTCCAGTTCAGAGAGGGCCTTTTGAATGGTGTCTGTCTGGGCTGGGTGACCTCGAGACAGTTGCAGTCTCATTCTGTTCTTTAGTCTTTATGTAACAGCAGCTCACTGGGGGCTGCTGCCCCAAACAGTCAGGGGCTGGGTATCCTGTCCCTGTCAGGATGTCCTGTCTGGGTCAGAGAAGTCAAGGGTGGGGGAGTGCTTGGGAACCAGGGGTCACCTAAGTGGTGACTGCTGGTCAGTACTCTTGGGGCTGCCCTTCGCATCTCTCCAGAGAGGCTCGGAGGATCATCAGTAGCTCTCTTGCACACACCTTGCCCTAAGGAAACTTTGGCTCAGGTAGTAGCCCACAGCTGGACCCCTGCTTCTTTGATTCCTAGGCTCGAACCAGGTGGAAACTGGCCTCAGGGCCCCCAGCTAGGCAGGCCTTTGGGTATTGAGGCCTTCCTTGAGGTCACAGTTCTCTCTACAGGTGCAGACCAGCCACCTCCAGCTGTGGCTAGCACAGGATTTCTCCATTTAGGCGGCTTTCTATGCTCTAGGATCTTTCTCCGTTTCCTGCCCTGAAGCCTTCCTCTCAGCTCAGCTCTCCTACAGCTCATTCCCCAGGGCTGGGGCCTAGCTTCCCAGACCTTCAATGCCTCCTTCACACTGCTCTGAAGGATAGTTACCCACCAACCCCAGTTCAGAAGTGCCCATGGGATCTAGAGAGTGCAAACGGTAAGCCTAAGAATTGAAGAAATCCAATGCTCAGGAAAAGGAGTCCATGCCTCCAGTGAGGCCTGACACACCCCAGACAAGGTCTGTGCTGAGGGTGGGGCAGGGGGTCAAGGCCATGGACTCTGCCTGTGGGTCAGTGTACATGTAGGTGGGTGTTGTAGGATCTTGATTCTAGGTGTGGACTTAGTGGTGTCTATAAAAGTTTATGCTGACTATACCTACCTGTGTGCTGGAGTGGGCATGATGATGGCCTATGTACCTGTGAAAAGACAGTTGGCAATGTAGGTCTTAAGTTGCTGAGCTTGGAACTTGGGAGTCTGAGGATGGTCAGCTAAAATGTTTATTGGAGATTTTAGTACTGTTCATTGGGCTAAAAATCCAACCCAGACACCACTTCCTCAGAAGCTCACAGCCTGGTGGGATAGATGTGATTTTGTGTCTGAGAGCATGCCTGGATATGTAGAGGGTGAGTGTGTGGTGTGTGTGGTGGGCAGCTGGGGCACTGGAACTTCTTATGTGGGAGCAGGGTCTGCTATTCGCCTGTCTACTGCTCAGCTGGACCTGGTCTCAGGTGACTGGCTACATGCAGGGTGGGGGTCAAGTTCCTAGAGGATGTCCAGGGTAGGTGCTGGGGAAGCCCTGGGGAGGCAGTCCTGCTGCAGGAGTCCCCAGCCTGTCCTGCCCCAGCTCTGACAGAGCCCTGTGGGCAGACGCAGCTGTTGCCAACAGTCACCCTACTGAGGCACCTGGAACCCAGGAATGCTCTCTCTGCTCCCAGCCTGAATAACAAGCCTCAGCGGGTAGGCAGGAGAGGGTGTGAGTCACTGTCAACCAAGCCTCCCAGGCTGGGAGGACTCGGCTGAGGGTGTGCCGAGTGTAGCCCTAACTGGGGCCCAGTGGGGAGGGCAAGGAGGAGGTGGGTGGGAGCTGAGAGCTGGCCTGCAGTCCATCCTTGGCATGAAGCAAAAATGTGGATGCTCTAGTCTGGATTGGGGGCAGTGGTGAACTGGCTGGCTGGGTGTGGAGGTCAGCAGACTTGTCCTTTCCTCCATCAGCCTGCCTAGTAGCGGGTGAGGCTGGGCTGGGCCTGTCTGCAGGGGGTGAGGGGAGGATCTGAGAGTGACTGGGATTAAGCAGCCGGCTGGTTAATCATTTCCCTGCCTGAGCCTTGAGCAGCCCTCTGATGCCCTGGGTTTCGCCAACACCTCTTCCAAGGCCACCAGGGCTGGGAACTGACCTCTAAGACCACCCATGAACACCTCATAATGTGGAGGGGCAGCCTCAGGCAGTGCAAGACCACACAGTCAGTCCTGTACCAGTCTCAGGCTCTGTCCCCTGTCCTCTTGGCCCCCACCCTCCAACATTTGCAAACCATGCTCCTTGAACCCCAGGATCCCAGGAATGTTCTAGAACAGACTTCACACCCTCCCCCTGCCTTAACTCTAGTAATATATAATGGGCTTCCAGATTTGATTCATGAGAGCATGGTGGCTCTGTAGGATAATCACTGGACTTCGAACCACAAGGTTACTGATTTGAGCTGCTCTGTGGGAGAAAGATGAGGCTTTCTGCTCCCACAAAGATGTACAGCCTCAGAAACCCTGTAGAGGATCACTATGAGTGTGAAAACTGACTTGATGGGGCACAACAACAATATTTGATTCAAGGCGTTCTCGTGGTGCAGCAGTTAAGTGCTTGGCTGCTAACCAAAAGGTCATTGGTTCAAACCATCAGCCACTCCGCAGAGAAAGATATGGCTTCCATAAAGATAAGTCGGCTTCCCTAAAGATTACCCATTCCTGTCAAGCCACTTTTGACTCACAGTGACCCTATGTGATATTCCCGCAGGGTTTCCAAGGCTGCAATCTTTAGGGAAACAGACTGCCCCGTCTTTCTTCAGTGGAGCAGGTGGTGGGTTGGAACTACTGACCTCTCTGTTAGCTGAGCACTTTTACTACTGCATTACCAAGGGCCCTTTCTGTAAAGATTCTTGTTAAGTGTTGTTGAGTTGGTTCTGACTCATACTGACCCTCTATAGGATTTCTGAGGAGCAGCTGGCTGGTGGGTTTGAACTACCTACCTTGCAGTTAGCAGTCCAGTGTTTATCCTACAGTGCCCTATGAGGAGCTCTACTCTGTCCTATAGGATCCCTATGAGTCAGAATTGACTTAATGACAATAGTTTTAAATGAGATTCCTTTGGGGAGGAAAGATTCTGTAAAATGTGAAAGTATAAACCAGCATCCTCACACACCTGCTATCAGCTGCTGCAGAACAGCTGACTGGTAAACATGGAGAAGAGCACTCAGAGAGATCCAAACAAGCTCTCCAGGGAGCAATGGGGGGAAGCTTTTTGGAATTATTTATAGAAGAAGACCCCCAGTCCCCACATCTAGGATGGACTTGAAGTTACGTGTAGGGAGATGGCAATCTGACATCCTGACAAACAAAGGGGTAAAGTCAGCAGATGAGGAATGGGGGTTGAGAGAGGGAGGAGGTGCAACTTCCCAGGGCTGTGGCATCAGCGGACCTGCAGGTTCCTCCCAGTGCCTGGTTCTGGGGCTAGAAAACCCACTGCCAGGGAATTAATTCTAACTCATAGTGACCCTATAGGCTAGAATAGGAGTGGCACTACTGTAGGATAATGCACTGAACTGCAAGGTCGGTGGTTCAAACTCACCAGCCACTCCTTGGAAACTCTATACAGGGTTGCTATGAGTTAGAACTGACTCTTTGACACTTAACAATAAGACTAGAATAGAACTGCCCCATGGAGTTTCCAAAGCTGTGATTTTTACAGAGGCAGACTGTCACATCTTTCTCCCATAGAGCAGCTGGTGGGTTCAAACCTCTGATCTTTTGATTAGCAGCTGAAGCCCTTAATCACAACCCCACCAGGGCTCTGGAGCTAGAAAGTTCAGCATATTGGCCACTGGGTTTTCCCCAGACCTGTGCTCTCTTGGGATGCACCATGAGCTTCAACCTATCATGGGGCAGGGAATCCCATGCTTTCAGAGACCTAAAGATGGATCCCTTTCCTCATCTACTCAGCTGTCTGGCTTAACCTCTCAGTAAGATGGCCCTTGGCTTGGTTTAGGGCTAGTTTGCCCAGGACAGATTTTTTTGACACTGGTGTGGCCCTGCGGGCTAATGCGTCAGACTGCAAAGTCGTTTGAACTACAAGGTTGGTGGTTCAAGCTCACCAGCTGCTCCTTGGAAACCCTATACAGGGTCGCTATGGGTTGGAATTGACTCAACGGCACTTAACAACAACAACTGGTTAAGGGCAAGGGCTTTTGAGCGATTGACCTAGGCTGAAAACTTGGTTCTTTTTATTAGCTGTGCTACCTTGAGTAAGTTATTAACCCTTCTGGGCCTCAGTTTCCTCATGTACTAAATGGGGATCATGCCACCTTACTTCATAGGGTTGTTGTGAGGATGAATGCTGCTGCTATTTGTAAACTGCTTAGCATAGGGCCTGGCATGGTAGTATGTACTTAACTGTTAGTGCCCTCACTTCTTGCTTTATTCATTGCTTTATCATTGTCCACCGTATTTCAACTACCAGGTGGCTTCAGACAGTTCTTGGAAAAATTCCATTATCATTTTATTTCACTTCCCTACAAACTTTTTGCAGCCTCCCAGTATCTGAGTGCTACTAAATGCCAAGGACTATTCTAAGAACTTCTTTATTATTTATTTATTTTTGAGGTTTTGAAAGTCCTGCCTGGGGGGACCTTTGCTCCTCCTTTTCTTACATTTCCTTTTCTTGAGGGGCCTTTGACTATTTGCATATTGGAGATAACATCCAACCCCCACCCTCCTCCATCCCCAGGAGGTGCAGTGGGATCAATTGGGTGGTGGCAGTAGTGGGAACCTTGTCCTGTCAGGGTGCCTGGGGAGAAGGCCGCCTCATGATTCCTGGGTAGCTGGGAGTGATGACCACAGTTTCTTAGAGGAGCTTTGGGGTCTTGGTATGAGACTGGGGGCGTGCAGCGGTGCCTGGGCTTCACAGCTCCAGCCCTGGGAAGACCCCCTCAGGGCCAGGAGCAGCCTTGAGAGTGAGTCACTTCTAAGGAGCCCAGTTCTGACTGATCACATACCATATACTGCCCCACCAGAGAACACACAAGCAGTCTGTTTCCCCGAAGGCTGAGACAGGAGCCTGTGGGAACCATGTTGCTCAGGATCAAAAAAGTTTTGAAGGCTCAGCCCAGTCCAGCTGTGATATGAGGAGTAGCAGCGTTATAGGCTATTTTCTCCAGCAAATGGATCCCTCCGCTTCAGAGGGCAAGAGCTGGTCCCAGACTTTGGACTAGGGTCAGGGGATACCTCCAGAGGAGGAAAGGGCCGAAAAGCTAGGCTCTGATCAAAGCCAGCAGAAGCTGGAATTCCTGAGTTTGAATAAGGGAAAGGTGGGGGTATCAGAACCTGGCTTATAGAGTCCATCCATCTCTGAGGTGAATGAACAAAGGTCGGTCTTTGAGGTGGAGCAGAGACTTGACTGAAGCAGGAGGAATCCAGGGTTTCACCAACAAGGGCTGTCTTTACGGTCACTATTGGGAAGCTCTGGAGGGCTCCCTTCCAAAGGCAGGTCTTTCCCTATGGGTGATGGGCAGGTGTTCACCTCCTCTTGACCAAGAAAGGGTCAGATTGCCTTTGGGGGGCTGCTCAGGATTTGTTTCCTGCCTTCGTGCTCTTTTTTGGCAAGGCGGAGGTTTGGCAGCTCCCTAGGGTGGAGGAGGCCCCTGCTTCCTGAGTTGGCCCTTGTATGTGTTCATTCACCTTTTGCTGGTACCCATTGTGTGCCAGACACCATGCTGGATACTAAAGAAAAAGATACTTTGCCCTCCCTCCAGGGCTGCTTCACAGGTTCTTTGCAGATCTTTTATACCCTCTAGACTCTCCTTCATTCATCCATCTTGGGTTTTTTTTTTTTTTTTTAAAGCAAAACTTAACAATCTATGCATTTATGGCATGTAAATTATACCTCAATTAAAAATGCATTCCTTGATTCACATTCTCCTCTAGTAACTGCTTCATTTAGTTTGCTTTTCATCTAAGTAAAATTGATTTCAGCAGTTGTTGGGAGCCACTAATTCTGCTTTCCTGATTCTCATTTCACCTCCTCAGGCCAGCCAGGCTTCTGGCCCACCCAGCGCAGGTGTTCTTCCCAGGTGAACAGGAACCCTGTGCTGGGAAATCCATGCTCACTGCTCTGCCCTGCCTTCTTCACCCTCCCAGCATTTGTCAGAGGACCTTACTCACCATTCCACGTCAACACTCTAAACACTGCCCTGTTTTTCCTCCTGTCTCCACGGCAGCAGCATCTTGATCCCCTTTGTTACTCACTGGCTTCGTCTCTTCACTCTGAACTAGCTAGAAACTAAGTTTCTGATTTCCCTCTCCAGACTGCACTTAAGGAGTCCTGGTGTGGCACTGTGGGTTAATGTGCTATACTACAAAGTCGGTTTGAACTGCAATGTTGGTTGTTCAAACTCACCAGCCGCTCTTCAGAAACCCTATACAGGGTCGCTATGGGTTAGAACTGACTCAATGGCAAACCCCCGCTCAGCCACCCTCTTTCACATCATCTCTGACCTTGTTCTATTGACACTTACTTGAAATCATTTTGGTCATGTGTTTGTTGCCTTGCTCATTGTTGGGTTCTGCCCACACTGGGTATGTGCTCCATGAGGGGAGCAAATGTACCAGCCTTGTTCTCCACTGTATCCCAGCCCCTGGAATCATGCCTGTTGCATATATGTGCTTGCACAAGATTTGTTTCATGAATGTTGGGTGAACAAAGGTGATGCTGGATCCAGAAGAAAAAAAAAATCAGATCTATTGTGGGGTTCGTCCTCATTGTAGGAAGGGAAACTGAAGAAGAAAAAGGGAAGTAACCTGCCCAAGGGAAGGAGGACTGGAAGCCAGGCTCTCTTACAAAATTCTTACACAAGTCTCCCTGGGCGAATTGGTTCCTTGTGAAGCTCCATAGATGCATTTTATGTGCAATTCATTTGATAAGCTTTGTGGTTTTATATAATTTTTCTCAGAAACATGTCTCTGTAAATCAAAGCCTGACTGTATGGTGAGCCCTTCAGGAGGGGAGAGGTCCAGTGGACAGAGGGCTGGGCAGCAGGAGAGAAAAGAGAACTAAGTGTTCAGCACTTGACCGTGGCAGTGGAAGTCGCTTTTCTGCAAGTGAAGGGACTGTTTCTAGACTGTTCCACGATGGCCCCCAGTCAGAGCGAGGCCCCACAGAAGGCTCAGCTCCTGATATTCATACTCTAGCCTCCTCTTACCTCCGCATCCTGCCCACTAACAAACTCCATTCTGTCTGATTCCCTTCTGACCTCCTAGACTGACTTTGTCCAACCCTTTGCCTGGACTGCCACTTTCTCCCCAGCCCCTGGTCACCCCTGTTGAAATCTTGTTCATCAGATAAGATCCAGCCCATGTTCAGTCTCTGTCAGGAGCCTCTGCTGATCATCTTGATCCACAGTAACCATTCTTGGCAGAGCAATTGCTGCATCTTGGTTGGATTAGCTATTGCTGTATGTGCTTCTCCTTCCCACTAGATTGTAGGTATCTCTGGGAAGAACGCCTGCCTTGTTCTGTGAATGCCCTCAGTTGCTGACCTGGTGCTGGCCTATTGCGGTTGTTCAGAGTGGTTTTGCTCTTTGGTTGGATTGGGAGGTTGGGTGGATGAAAGGGAAGATGGGCAGGTGAGTAGGCAGGTAAATAGGAATGGATGGCAGGTGGGCGAAATGAGTAGGAAAATGGGAAGGTGGCTGGGTGATGGGTGTTTGGATTGATAGATGACTGGCTGAGTAGATGGATGGAGTAGATGGATGGGTGGTTCCAGAAGTGAAGGGTAACTGGGGACAGGAACCAGAATTAGAGTGTGCAGGTGCCCTTGCTCTGGAACAAGTAAAAGGTAGCTCTAAAAGATGAAAGAAGAGTGAAGGGAAGATGCTGGAATCTTTTTTTTGGTGTAACAGGTCTTATTTGTGAGTCTCTCCCTCCCCAAAGCTGAGGAAGTCTGTGGGAAATGGAATGACTCTAAGGAAGTTTCTCAAGTTGTCGGTTGAGAGATATTATCTAGGAGTCCTAGGGTCAAATGAGAAAAAGAGTTGTCAAGTTCATCTACCTGCTTCAGGCAGGACTCTGCCCGCCCACCACTTTCTTTGTCACTTCCAGAGAGGGAGGCCCTATGTTCCCATTTGTCAGTGCTTTCAGGATCTGGAGTGAAGTCCAAGTCAGTGGTTTTCATCTGGGACGATTTTGCCCCTTGGGATGTTGGGAAACATTTTTGGTGTCATGATTAGGTGATGCTACTGGCATTTACTGGGTAGAGGCCAGGGATAGTGTTCAACCTCTCACAATACCAGGAACAAGCAAATAAACAAAAATCAAACCCATTGTTTCTAGTTGATTCTGACTCCGCATTGCCCTGTAGGACAGAATAGAAATGCCTAATAGGGTTTTCAAGGCTGTAAATCTTCATGGAAGCAGACTGCCACATCTCCCTTTTGTGTAGCAGCTGGTTGGTGGGTTCTGTCCACTAACATTTGAGGTAGCAACTGAGTACTTAACCACTGTACCACCAAGGTGCCAATGCACAGGACAGTTCTCTACAAAAAAGAATCATCTGGCCAAAAGCCCTGTAGTGCTGACTTGGAGACACCTTGATCTAAACCCAACCCCAGCGGCTTTAACGGGAATATCGTGGAAGTACAATTTGAGCCACATTTGAAATTTGAAAATTTTTCATCACATTACAAAAGGAAAAGGAAAATAAAACAAAAACCCAAAAGAAGCAAGGTTAATTTTAATAATAGATTTCATTTACCCCAACATAGCCAAAATATTATCATTTCAAGATGCAATCAATAAAACAGTGTGACTACTGCATTATTTTACATGAATTCTTGGGAATATAGTGTGTGTTTTACACTTAGAGCCAGTCTAAGTTCAGACAAGCCACACTTCAAGTGCTTGGTAGCCTGTTTGTGGATAGGGCTGGCCTAGGGGTGTTGTGTTTGTTCTTCTGAGTAGCCCTGAAGCTCCCTCCCTTCCTCCCCAGCCTGGCCAAGCAGAGGTCTGTAGAGGATGAGGAGGAGTGGGAACGTGAGCGCCGCCGGCAACATCGCAACCAGAGCTCCACCAACAACAACGAGGAGTCTCCCAAGCTCACCCAGAATGGAGATGGACGCCCTGCGGACAGGTGCTGGGGTTGGGTTGGGTGGGGGTGAGTGTGAAGGTACTATTTCCCGATCACAGGTAATGGAGATTGGCTCAGCTGCTCTGGATACACCAAGTATAAAGTATTTGACCCTGGAAATGAGGCGGAAGGGTATGAAGATGAAATTCAGGTTCCTCACCTTCCCCAGAGCCCTCCTCAGCCCTGCCAGATTCCACCCTCTTCATGAAAGCAATTACTACTATTTATTGAGCCCCACTTTTCTGGGCATTATTTAGGCATAGCTCATTTAATCCTCACAATATCCCTGAAAGAGAGGTATTATTAACCCATTTTACAGATGGAGAAACTGGGTCAAAGACTACTTAGGTGACTTGCTTAGATCATAACTGCTCATGAGTGGCAGGATGAGGATTTTTCATCCAGATCTGTCAGGCTTTGTGGAACAACTCTTTGCATAAGCCACCTGCCTCACTCAGACCCTAACGCTCCATAGTAGCTTTTAGGAGCTTGTTACCTATACTTTAGGATTAGGAGGGAAAAGATTAAACAGGCTTGGAATTTACTGAATGCCACCTGTTGGGCAGTCTCATGCAATGAGTCTCAGTGTATCCTTGGAACAAGCCTAGTTTGTAGATGTGGAAATAGAAGCTCAGACAGTGAGGTCCAATGGACATCACACCCCATGTCTGTGTAAATCCCAAATTCTCTTTCCTTTGCACAGTGAAAGGGCAATGAGAAGGAAAAGAATCTTTTTGCAGAATGACAAATGCTATAGGTTGTGGACAAACCTCTTGTGCTTCTCTTGCTCCTCTAGATGCCCTGGTAGCAGGGAGAATATGATCTAAGTCCTGGGCTTCACTAATGCCTGTGTCCATCACCTAACTCCTGGCTGCACCCACAAGATTGGCAAAGGTGCTAGATGGAATCTGGGTTTTTCTTTCAGTTCTAACACTGTGTGAACTCTCTGATCTTGGTCCAAGCTCTAAAGGGCAGGAGGGATTGTGATTATTCCCTTGACCCCATGATGTTCACAGCACATTAGAAAGTTCATGGAAAAAATGAATGAAAAATAATGCAATCTCCCATGAATTTTTTGAAGTTCCCTTGTTAGGTACTCAGTGTGTTTTTTTATGTCGATATTCAATCATTTTAATAATATCAAATCATTCTTATAATTTTGATAGTTCAATGCTGTAACAAACACATGTTCATAGTAGAATATAAAAGCATTTAAATTATAAAAATAAGAAAATTAAGATAAGAGCAAAATTCCATATAGTTTTTTTTTTAAGGTTTTTATTGTGGATTGAGTGAAAGTTTTCAGGGCACATCATTGGTTTCACATTCAAACATTCATATACCTTGTTTCATTACATTGATTATAATCCCCTCCACATACCATCAGTTAACAGAGTTTCTCTATATCCTCTTTATTTTTTGGGGGGGGGAACAACTTTGCCTTTTTGGAATTTACAGTCCTGGCTTTTAGGGAAGGTTTTTGCATTTATCTGTGGGTATCCAGGGCTCATGTATGGAATTACTAACCAGCATAACTGAATAGTCAGATAAGGGACATTTTGCTATGTCTGCTAGGTGGGTACTCAGTGTTTTTTGACTGAGACTGGGCATGGAATGATTGGACCTTACATGGACTTAGAAACTTTAAAAACAGCCTTGAGTGTTTTGTTCAAATACCATCTTGGAAGTCCAATATGTAAAGCAGATGAAAAGGATCCATGTCCTCACCCCCTCCCTGGTGGCACCAGGGTGTTTCCATTGAGTATGGTAGCCCACAGGGTCCTCCCCCTTCCGATAGCTGCTGATTCTTTCTCCCACTCTTGACTCAGGCTGCCAAGCTTGGAGGAAACAGAGGCCCGGACACCACCATCCCCAGCCTCCAAAAATGAGGACGAGGACTTCCAGGCCATCCTCAGGACGAGGCGGGAGCGGAGGCAGAGGCGACAGGCACTAGAGGCTGTGCAGTCTCCCATTCAGGAGAGGCTGAAGGCAGAGGAGGGCAGAGACAGCTCCGACCCTGGACAGACCAAGCAGCAGCCTCTAGTGCCCAAGAAGGAACTGGACGCCCCACCTCGCCGTAGACTGAGCCGGGAGCAGAGAGGTCCCTGGGCCAGAGAGGAGGAGAGCTTGGTGGGAAGAGAGCCAGGAGAAGGGAAGAAGGGGGCCCCAGAGAAGACCCCAGTCTCAGAGAAAACCTCTGTTCATGAGAAGACATCAGCATTTGAGAAGAGATCCATCTCAAATGAGAAAACTTCCCTCTCTGAAAAGACATCTGGCCCTGAGAAAACACCAGTGTCAGAAAAGACAACTGTCTCAGAGAAAAGGTCTGACTCAGAGAAGAGATTGGTTCCAGAAAGAACAAGAATCTTAGAGAAAATACCTGCCTTGGAGAAGATGCCCACTCCAGAGAAAATCTCAGTGTCGGAAAAGATGGCAGCCTTGGATAAAAGATCCGATTCAGAGAAGAGACCGGTTCCAGAAAGAACAAGAGTCTTGGAGAAAACATCTACTTTGGAGAAGATGCCCACTCCAGAGAAAACCTCAGTGTCGGAGGAGATGGCAATCTCAGAGAAAAAATCCATCTCAGAGAAGTTGGTTCCAGAAAGAACAGGTGTCTCAGAGAAGACTCCAACTCCGAAGAAGACACCCACTCCAGAAAAAACATCAGTGTCAGAGAAGATAGCCATCTCAGAGAAAAGATCCATCTCAGAGAAGAAATCAGTTCCAGAAAGAACAAACTTCTCAGAGAAGACGTTGACCCCCGAGAAACCATCAAGCTTAGAAAGGAAAAAGGTGTCTGAGAAAGCAGCCATCTTTGAGAAAACACTAGCCTCAGAGAAGACCCCGACCACAGAGACAAAGTTGACCCTCAAGAGGGCAGTAGCCTCTGAGCAGCCCCAGGAGCAACTGACCTCTGAGGGGGCCCAGCCTTCCACCAAGGAGCAAAGAAGACGAGCCCTCCCTGAGAAGAGCCCCCCTCCCTCTGCAGAACCAAGAGAGCATGGGGAGTCAGACTCTTTGACTCTGGGCTCCCGCCTCCCGGCCTTCACACTCCAGGTTGGCAGCCCTCCTGTCGCCCTAGCCCCCCTGGCCAGCCCTCCCCTCTAGTGATGCCTAGGTGGTCTGTGGCCCACTTTTACCTCCTGTGCTACTTTCAGACTGTTCTTCTTGCCTCTTTTTCTGCTCTTTGCCCCTGTTAGGTGAGGGGTGCTGAGCCAGCTGCTGGCAGCTGAGAGGGACATCAGTTGTGTGTTAGGATGCACTTGGTACCTAGGGCCATATCTGTAACCAGGTCTGGATGCTAGAACCCTAGCCTACTCTTGGGAAGCCTCACATTCTTCTAGAAATTCTTCTGGAAAGTGTTGTCTGATAGCCTGGTCCCACAGGACTATGTCTGGTCCCCTTTCCCTCAGCAGTGCAAAAGGGCAGAGGCTGGAGAGGAAGCTCATTCACCTTCCTCCTGTAGTTCCGGGATGAGTCAGGTGTGAGGGCTCCTTCCAGGGCCTCTTTTGTGATGCTTGCCCTACTCCATCTAGGTGAAAGTCCCCAGCAAGGAGGAAGAAGCAGACATAACCTCGCCCACCCAGGCCACCTACAGCAGCTCCCTCAGACGTTCCAGCTCCAGGACCATATCCTTCCGGGTGAGAACTCAGAACGCCCTGTATTTCTCATCCCCCAGAGGGCAAGTCAAGGAAACCAACTGTCCAGAGTGATGGGGTCCAGGTTAGGTTTCAAGATGCATGTCTTGATAGAGAAGTGCTTTGGATTCCCATGAGTGGCCCCAAACAGAAAAACTCAAAACCCATTGCTGTCCAGCTCATAGGGTTTCCAACTCATAGGGTTTCCAAGGCTTCCTCATCTGTCTCCCACAGAGCTTCTGGTGAGTTTGAACTGCCCACTTTGCAGTTAGAAGCCAAGCACTTAAACCACTGCATTATCAGGGTTCCTCTAAAGAACAAAAAGCCAAAACACCAAACCCAGTGCCATCGAGTTGCTTGCATCTCCTATCAGTGTAGAGTTGTCCCAGCGGCACTGCTGACTGCCACATCTTTCTCATGTGGAGGAGCTGGCGAGTTTGAACTGCAGATCTTGTATTTAGCTGTCCAGTGCTTAATCCACTGCATCATCAGGACTCCTTAAAGAATAGAAAAGTTTGGACTAGATAACAGGTTAATGGCTCAAAAGGTAGGTGTGAGCAAGCTTGAGCATCACCACCTAGTGGAGACTATCAGAACTGCAAGGAGGAAGCTGTTTGCATTGAAAGCGCTGGTCTGCAGAAACCCCACTCCTGCCTTCCCCAGAGAGTTCCTGTCCTCACCTGGAAAGCTTGTCCAGGAGGGAAGGATGGGGGTGAGGTGCATCAGAGGGCTCCAGGGCTCTCCTAGTGCTCTCTACTCTGCCCCTGCCCTAGTCTTAACAAATGTTATGAATTGAGGAATCTCCTCTTCTTAATTCCTTTGTTTACTGGGTCTGTGTGCTATGCTCCTAATGTGTATCAGGCTCTGGGAAGTAGTCTGGAGGCCTGGTGCTAACCCAGTCCCTGCCCAAGGGTTTCTGGGCAGTGGGGAGGCAGGCAGGAAAATGGGTGGTTACAGTGGTTACAAATCGGGCTGTGAACCACAAGGTTAGCAGTTCGAAACTACCAGCCAATCTGTGGGAGAAAGATGAGGCTTTCTGCTTCCGTAAAGATTTACAGCCTCAGAAACCCTGTGCAGGGTCACTATGAGTTGGAACTGACTCCACGGTACTTAATAACAACAACAGGTACCCTGAGAAGATTGGGAGGCCCAAGGAGTGGCCAACTGTTTGCCGAAGATGAGGGCCTTTCATGCAGTTTGGCCACCTATTTCTCTGGGCATGGCTTAAACAGGAAGACATGCCTTAAGGGCTGCCTCCCTGGAGCCCCCACTCACTCTGCCCTTCCTTGTCATTTCAGATGAGCTCCAGGAAGGACAACTCTGAAACTACCTTAACCCGCAGGTCAGGGGCCTGAGGGAGGCTCTGGCTTTCTCGTTTGTTCAGGTGGCATTGACTGCACATCTGCCACCTGCCCTTCATGTGCCAGGTTGTGCCATAAAGCCCCTGAGGGAAGGGTGAAGTCCTTGTCAGGGAGACTGGATTAACACAAGGGACTGAGGCCAGATGAGGATGGAGCTGAGGAGAATCTGGCAGGACTTCCTGAGGGAGGCTGGAGGAGGGTTTACTCTTGAGGTGGAGGGGTAGGAGGGGCAGGAGCATAGCCCTGCTTCAGCAGGCCTGGCATAGTGGACCTGGGAATATGCATGTTTAACATGTGCCCCAATGCCATGCCGCCTCATGTTCATGCAAGTTGCCTAAGGACTATGCTTTATGGGAAAAGAATTGAATAGTACCTGAAAAGCAGTTGGTGTTAATCTTTTAGGAATTTTACCCACCCATGCTACATCCATCTGCCCCCTCAACATTTACTGAGGCACTGGGGTGGGGTGCAGGATGTACAAAGATGAATAAGCCACAGTTGCTGCTCTCAAGAGACTCACAGCCTCAGGAAAGAATTAGACCATCAAACAGCAAGGAACAGTCAGCAGGGAGGCGTAGGGACAGGAATGAGAAGGGGAAGGACTTGGAGCTTGCTCCCTGGTAGTTGCAACAGTGTTGCCTGCAGGAGATGGGGAAGGTGTCCCAGGGGACTCCATATTCCATCCATGGGACTTGATGAACCCAGGGATGGTTTCCAGATGGACAGCTAGATGAAAGTCATTATAATCAGTGGGAACAGAGTGTGAAAAAACACTGAGTGTGAAAAGTGTGTTTCTGGTTGGCTGGAACAAAGGCACATGGAGGCGTGGGGTAGGGCTGATGGCCTTTGGAAAGGGAGCAGGGACAACCTCATGAGAACCTTGTATGCAGTGCTTAGGAGTTTGGTCTGTGGCCTGAGGGTCTGAGCCAGTAGGATGGGATTGAATTTGTTGGGTAGAAGTGATCTGGTGGCAGAACAGGGAAAGTGGGTATGGAGGGACAGCAGTGGGGGGAAGATGAAGGGCCAGACTCAGGAGACACTCTTGAGGAGGAAGTAGCAGGCTGTGGTGGTGACATGGGAGAAGGGGAGAAGAGAGAGGGAAGGATCTTATATTGGGGATGTCCTGCTGGCAATGTGTTTCTAGGGAGGTGAGGGAAATTGCTGGTGTCCATAAATCTTCCCCTTGGCCAAATCCTTACAGACTAACTGTTGTTGTTAAGTGCTGTCGAGTTAGTTCTGACTTATAGCAACCCTGCATAGGGTTTCCAAGGAGCAGCTTGTAGGTTTGAACCATCAACCTGTGGTTAGCAGCCCAGTGCTTATCTTAGAGCGCCACGTCGGAACTAACTCTGTAATGGAGACTATAAATGGTGGGGTGGGGTCTACTCCCCAGGCTCCAGGTCAGGTCTGTTGGGAGTGGGCTCCTCATCAGGTTTATCTTGCTTCTGTCTTCCCTTCCTGCAGTGCCAGCATGAGGCTCCCGGCTAGCTCAGTGAAGTTAGGAGAGAAGCTGGAGAAATATCAAATGGCCATACAGGTGTGCATGTGCGTGAGGCTCTGGGGAGAGGGGAACACTTCTGTGTGCATCACTTGTGTAACCCAGCAGCCTGTATCCTCTCTCCCCAGAGATCAGAGGCCCTCAAGTCTCCAGGCTCCACCCGCACAGAGTTCTTTGTGGCTCCTGTGGGGGTCTCCAGTAAGCGCCACCTCTTTGAGAAGGTGCTGCCCAGCCAGAGTCAAGCAGAACCAGCCTCCAGCCGGAAGGTGAGGGGCTCAGGCCCAGCCAGGGATCTGCAGGCTGATTATGCCTGAGATCCCCAAACCCCAAACCTTGGCCCTGACGGAGCTCGAAAACTCCATATTTTCATGTCAGTTAACACTGGCTGACCTTGGCATTCATTGGCTCCGATCTAGACAGTGTGTGCTGGCTGTGTACGTATGGGGACGAGGTTGAGTCCCAGCCCTGTTTGAAGACTTTGAAAATCCCTTGCTGTTGCCAGCAGCCCCAAACTCTGAGCTGGAAGCCTCTCTTTTTAGGAGCATTTGAGACTCTCAGGGGTTGTGACATCTAGGCTCAACCTATGGATCAGCAGGACCCAGGAGTCTGGAGATCAGGACCCACAGGTAAGCTGATGCTCTCCCATGCCTCATACTATGGGCTCTTTACCAATGGAGTGGCCCACCCCAGGAGTGGAGACAGTGGGGAAGGGGTGGGATATGGAGGGAACTGTGGGCAGAGGTCAACAGGTAGGAGGGGTGGGCTGGAGCCCTTCACCCTTCCAGTAAGGGAGGGGGGACTGTCCTGGGCTGGGGAGGGAAGCTGCAAGTCCTGAGCTCCTTCACAGCCAAGACTTAGTCCCTGGTGTCCCCCTGGCTCCCCTATTCAGGAGGTGCAGAAAGAGTTGGCAGCTACCAAGAGGACCTCGTGGGGGAAGAAGTCAGATCCACCCCTGGATGTAGAGGTGAGTGGCTCAGGGGGGCATGGCCTTGGGGGAGAGGGCTATGAGTGTCTGGGGAGGTGGTGGGAGACTGTACACACCCACTCACAGCCCTCACTAATGGGGACAATTGACACTCCAAGGGTCCTGTTCCATCCTTATCTCTCGGATTGGCTTGACCCATCCTGGAGAGGACCTGCTTGAATCCCTCAGCTGGGCCTGCGTCCCTGCAGCTCTGCAAAGCCCCCCTCTTCAACCAGTAGCCTTTGGGTCTCTGCTCTAGTCTGGGTGTGGTTCTTATGAAAAGATCTACATGGCTGTCCAGAGACTCATTTCCCTCGCAGCCCTAGGAACCCCCTTCCCTTGTTCTAATACACTTCTGTCCCACAGGTTTGACAAGCCTACCAAGATGGACCTGCAAGTCTTCCTCTCAAGGACCAGCCCCATCTCCTACAGCAACATCCCTGCCTCTTATTGCCCCTGCTCCTTTCATTTCTCCCTCTGGGCCTGCCAGGCCAGGCTCCCTGCAGCCAGGAATGTTGGGGAGACCTGGCCAGCTCCCTCTCAGTCCAGCCTTTCAGGGCAGGTCTGCCCTAGTACCTTCTTGTCCTGCTGCAGGCATAGTGGCCCTCAGGGCTTCCAGGTCCAGACCCAGTATCAGCCCAGGACACAGTACTAGGGGCCTTGGTGTCTTGTTCACAGTGTCTCCTCCTTCCTGCTCACCTCAAAGATCAGGGAAGGACCATCCCAAGAACTCTAGGGTTACCTGCTTTATCTGCCCCCACCGTGGGGGCTCTGTCTCTGTTTACCCTCCCCTCCCTCCATGCCACCTCAGCCAAGGATCCACTGCCTCTGTGCTCCCCTGCCTTGGCTACGTACCTAGTGCCTTTATCTGATCCCCTTCGCCCTCTCTGAAAAAAATCTGTTCTCAGGAAGAATCTGATAAATTAATTCACTCTCAGGTGTAAAGGACTGATTTGTTGTTAAGTGCCATCAAGTCCTCTCTGACTTAAAGTTGACCCTGTGTAAGGTTTCTGATGAGCAGCTGCTGGGTTTGAACCACTGACCTTTCACCTAGTTCAGTGTTTATCCACCAGGACTCCAAATGACTGATAATACCATAGAAATAGATTCCTCCCTGAAAGCTTTGCTTTCTAACAGACTCATCTGCAGTGTGTAAAACAGCGAGGGTGTTATATATGTTTTTGCTTGGGTGGGGGGTATTCATTATCCTAGTTCCCCTCCTTCATGTTAAGTTAGGTTTGACACCCAGTGGTCCTAGCATGGCAAGTTGAGAGGTCAGAACTTTAGATTCAGTGCCAAGTCGACAGCCAGCACCCCCTTTATCTCTTAAAGTCCACTACTCTATCCTCTCAACATCATGGCCCAGGTGAGCTTGGAGAATGCGGAGATATATGAGAATCTAACAACGTCCGTCTGGTGCCTTGTCCAAACCCTTTAATGCTGTAGTTAAAATCTTTTGTTGTTTGTTGTAAATTTTAGAGCTCTTATACCAAGTTGGCTGCTCTGTTTTTACCTAGATCCAGGCGGGTGTGGGAGTAGGTTCAGAGCCCTGCCTCCTCCCCCAGTAATGCCTAGCGGCTCCAGTGTATCTGAAAACACAGCTCTGGAGGGTGTCACCAGACCCCAGGTCCACAAAACTGTGACACATAAACAGCCAGCCCTACTTCAGCCCTTGTGATTCAGGGTGATCCTGTGGTCCAGGGAACCCTCATCTGTGTGCACTGCCCTGGTCCATAAAAGAGCCCAGAGTCCCTAGACCCCTGTAGCTGGTCCCCTGGGCCTGCACTGAGTCATGGATTGGGGTCCTGGAGACCCTGCCCTCACCTCCCACTCTACCCCTGTAGTTGAGAATTTGAGGACAAAGCCTGAGCTGGGGTGGGGTTAGGGAGGAGTGGATGGGTACCACCAGAAGCTCCAGAAGCCTGCATTGCTCTGGCCCTGCCAGGAACTCTGAATGTGACCCTGAGCAGGGCAGTTCTCTTCGTCTGACCTCAGTCAGGGTTCAACTAGATGACCTCTAAGGACCTTTGAATGTTTGTGTTGTACAATTCGAAAAGTTTTCCTGACATGGCAACTCTCCCGAAACTCAGCAAAAACTGTCCTCCACAGACAGGTTTTGGGTGTGAGAAGGGGCTCTCAGAAGCCTTCCTCAGGGAACTAGGAAGGGGGCGGGGGGACCTAGGGGCTGGCTCGATTCTGGATGTCTGGGGCTGTTCCAGCCACTGCTGCTTGCCCACACCCTCTCTGGGATGCCCACTGAAGGCTGCTGGGCAGTGTCAGTGGGTGCTCAATCTCATGATTCCCCATCAAATCCATGCATCCAACACATGAGGAACCTGCCCTCGTTTCGGCCAAGGAGGAAACGAATACATGCGCAAGATCAGTTCTGCTTCCTAGCTCTTGTTTTTGTCATGTGCTGAGCTCTCCAATGCTGGGTTTGGGGACATAGTATTCTCCAGAGAAACATAACCAATAAAAGATTGGTAAAACCCTTTACAGGGTCATTATGGGTCAGAACCGACTTGACAGCACTTAACACAACAACACCTATTTACCTATCTGGTGGGAGAAATAGAAGTCTTTGGGTAGTGTGAACGGTCAACACATTTGGCTTCTAATTGAAGGGTTAGAGGTTTAAGTACACCCAGGGGTACCTCAGAAGAAAGGCCTGTTTATTTTTTAAAATGTAGCCATTGAAAACCTCTGAAGCACAGTTCCATTCTTATACATGCAAGGTTGCCGTGAGTTGGAAGTGACTTGTGTGTGTATGGAGAGAGAGACTGAGATTTCATGTGCTGACAAGTGCAAAATCTATAGGCCAGCAGAATTTCTATGTTAACAGTTTTAAAGCAAAATCCCTTCTTTGCAAAACTTCAGCTTTTGCTCTAAGATTTTCAGCTGATTAGATGAGGCCCACAAAGATAATTTACTTTACTTAGAGGCAGCTAAGACTCGTGTTTGACCAAACAAAAGGGCACCAAGCTGACATAAAATTAACCATTCACAAGGACGTACACACCTTCTCACAAAAACCCTGGGCCCTGACCTTAGTAAGTTTACAGAATCATGCCCTGAATCACTTGTTTTTAAAGACTTTGGAGAATAAACTCCCAGTCTAAGCTGAACCAGTTTTTTTTTTCAACTGCAGGTTCTACCTTGTATCTGGCCACTTCTGGTAGTATAAGTCTATTCCTTTGGAGGAGGGCTTAGCCTATGGGTTTAGGGTCACAGAGAGATTCACTCACAGAGAGGCCCACAGAACATGCTACCCATCCAAGATTGCCCAGTCCAGCAGATGCAAAGCTGGAGTAGCCAACAGCCTGGAAGATATCTTTATCCACACTTCTTTTCAAGTGAAGCTGCAGATAAGCCCTTATCCTCTGCCCACCAGGACTCTGGTGCAGAGACTCAAAGTGTCTTTGACGATTGCCTTCTAACCCCCGAATCCTGCTTCCAGCCTGTCCTCCCAGGTCTGGGCCACTGGCATCTGCTTTATCAAGATGCTCAAGAGGGACAGCTGGTTTGTGTTACATGCCTGCTCCCTCCTCTGTTCTCCACATATCTGAGCAGCTTTAAATAGCTTATCTGAGCAGTTGGACAACCACATGGGCTTATATGGCGTGGGGTGCGTGTTCCTTTAGTCTTGTCCCTGGCACCTGCCAAAATAGCAGCCAACACCCACCCACCCCCCATTCCCCGCCGCCACACCCCTGTGTCTCCTACTGCACATTCCTCCCACCACAGGGTCCACCTGCCTGCTTAAAGCCCTCTGCATCCCCTATCCTCATCCAGTCCCGGCCTGGGCTGAGCAGACAGCCCTCAGATCTCTGCAGCTCCTGTTCTGAGGTAAGACTTGAGCACAGGGAGAGGAGGGGAAGATGTGAGCATCCTGATGTCAGGGACCCTTACCCACAGTGTACTTGCATCCACCCTGAGTGGATGCCAGGGTTCACAGTTATCCATGTTCCATCCTAGAAGTGGCCTGGGAGTTTTGGTGGGAAAGCAGGCCACTTTTAGATGAGATGTAGCAGGAATTGGATGCCTAGACTAGCACAACAGAGAGGCAAGGACCCTGTGTTAAAAAGTCGAGACTTGGCTTTGAGTCCTAAATCTGCCACGAAAGAGGTTGCCCAAGAGGGCAAATTCCTTTTTCTCCCTGCACCTTACTTTCCTCATCTGCAGAATGGGTCAGATACTTGCTAGGCTGCTCTAACAATTATGATGATCCAACCAGCAGGGACTTCCCCAAATTGTTTGGTCCAAATCCTTTCCCTGTAGATCAGTGATGGGGAACATTTGTTTCTGGCAAAATTTATAACATTCACAGACCATACAAAATTACCAACTTAAATATTAGTTTGCTATATTTAGTCAGGAGTTCTGGTGTGGTGCTGTGGATTAATGCGCTGGGCTGCAAAGTTGGTTTGAACTGCAAAGTTGTTGGCTCAAGCTCACCAGCTGCTCCTTGGAAACCTTATACAGGGTCATTGTGGGTCAGAACCAACTCAATGGCACTTAACAACAACAATGTGGAATTGTAGTTGCCTTGGCAGGGCCAGACCAGATGATTTTGTAGGGTTTATATGGGTGGCAGGCCAGACATTCCCCACCCCTGCTCTAGATGAAGGGTCATCACACCTTCTCAGACAGGTCCTTCTTGAGCCCCAGAGAGTAGAATGAAGCATGTGGTCAAATGCTTATCTTCAGGCCCCTGGGAACTGTGTGGATGCATTGAGGTAGCCAGGGAAGGCTGGCTGACACATTTCATTAGACCTTCCTGACCCAGCACCAGTATCTTCCCCAGAGCAAGAGCATGGGCCCAGAGCTCTTGGGGTCAGGTGAGGGAAAGGTCCCTACTGGGACATCTTTCACAGAGTGCAAACCCCCAGCTCAGTTGCATTAAAAGATTAACCTTGAACCTAGCTGCCCCAGGGGTCCCTGAAAGAATAATCCTTGTTCCACCCACCCCATTTTCTCTATACATGGGAGTGGCACAAGAAGCCTTAGTGGCAAAGTGGGCTGCTAACTGGAAAGTTGTTGGTTCGAACCCATGGGAGAAAACTGAGCCAGTCGGCTTCCATAAAGATGTATAACCTCGAACACCGTGTAGGGCAGATGTATTCTGCCCCAAAGGGTCACTAAGAGTGGGAATCAACTCAACGGCAGTGGGTTTGGGAGAAAGATTCCCCTTCCTGGACAAGCTGGGGAAATATTTGGAGGGGGGAGTTTGGAGTGTAAG